TTCTAAGTAATGTATATCACTTGGTTTTCTTTAGGAGATATTATACTGATTAAGCCTCTTTAAGCACTTTGATATTGTCAATACTTTGAAGTATTTTTGAAATATTTAAATATATGTAAGTTGATCACATTAAATTTTTGATATTCTCTTATTTTATTAGCGAGTATAATAATTCGAAGAGATACTGACCCTAGATTCAACATTTATAAGATTCTATTTCACTGTGAACAGAAAAGAGTAGTAATGTTACCAATGGCAATGGAATGTTAAAGTTAAAAGTGACTTATTGATAATCTAGTCCAGTGTTTTTATTTTTGTGTTTAAGGTCATTCATATTAAATTATTTGCTGAGGGATCTGGAAAGTTGGATACAGAGCCTGATTTGCAAGCCAGGACTTGTTATTCACAGTCCCATGCTTTTTCTTGATTCATGCTCCTTTAACATGTTTAAACTAAAGTTAAAAATCAGATTTTAAAACATTTAAACATTTATGTTAATTACAATTCAATAGGTTTCCCTGTAAATATGCCTTATATGGTTTAGAATCCAGCTAGATTTACAGTTAGCCTGAAATATCACTAATAATCTGTATTATCCCCCTCGTATTTACTGTTATTACATTTACACCTTTCAGTATTTACCACTTTTCCCCCATAAAGCTTAATTATAGGTATTTTTTGTTTTCCTTCCTTCCTTTCTTCCTTTGTCTGTTATTTCCTGAAATATTTTAGAGACTAATTTCATTATATGAACTATTAATATACAGTGCCTTTCAAATAAAAAATGTGAGTAGCCTCTTACTTTGATCATAAAAAATAACTATTATAGGTAAGAGGTACTTGAAATTCTAGCTGTTTTATTTATTAAAATATTATAGATAAATAATTTTTATTCCAAACTAGTTTTTTAGAGTTTATTTTCTAATTGAGAACATATTCATAGTTGATGTCAAGTGGAATTTGGCAAAGAGGTAAAGAAGAAGAAGGAGTTTATGGTTTCCTGATAGAAGACATAAGAAAAGAAGTGAATAGAGCTTCTAAACTGGTAAGTAAATTATTTTACTCATTTTAGTAAATACTGTAAATATTGTCAATACTAGGGAAGTCTTCTTTATCAGTTTCTCCACTAGAAATTTGTAAGACTTCTATTTCATGTTCCAGTGCTTACTTTATCAAATATGGTGAATTTAGAACATTTGTATTTTTGCAAGTGAAAGGGAACTTAACCGCCCCTGGATAATATATGTGACAATATTGATTTTCACTTCCTTATCTTATTCCAACCAACCCATCAATTCACCCACATTTATCATCAGAATTATGAACACACTAATACTCCGCTGTTCTTCAGACTTCAATACTGAGTCATCCAGACATTCACTTTTCATTCTTATACCTCAGTTGTTGGGTTGAAATGATGGGTTGAGGTAAAATTACACAAGTATGAAGACCAGTAATTTGTGATCTCCACACCTCTGTGGCCCTTCTGTGACTTTGTGTGCTTTTTTCAGTGCCTTCTCCTGTTCTCCAAGATGAGTATTCTAAACTTTTAACTCCTCACTCATTTCATTATAATACTAGAGGCCCGGTGCATGGATTCATGCACCGGTGGGTTCCTTTGGCCTGCACCCTCTCACATTCCGGGACCCCTCAGGGGATGTCAGATTGCCGGTTTCGGCCTGGTCCCCGCAGGCCAGGCCGAGGGACCCCACCAGTGCATGCCTCTAATATGCATATAAGATCTTTGGTTACTCTCTTCCCACCCTCTACCCTCCCCCGCTTCCCACTGAGATGCATCAGTCTGTTCCATGTTTCCATGCCAGTTCTTTCAGTTTCTGGCCCCTGGTGGTCAGTGTGCATCATAGCTACTGGTTGAATGGTTGAACGGTTGCTTAGGCTTTTATATATATAGATGAGAATCTACTCTGTGATAGCTACTTAGATGATGTGCAAGGAAAGGACTGTGGGTTTCCAAGTGGTCTGAGTAGGAATAATGAAGGTGAGAGAATGAGAAGGTTAAATATGAACATGCAGTAATGGCCTACAACCTGCAACAGACAATTAAAATAATGTATGTTTGTCCCCCTTCCTGTCCATGTCCATATCCCAGTTACACCCCTGGGCAAGTCTGGAATTTAAGGAGTATTTCTTAATTATGTGTTTTCATTTGAGATTTGAATGAGACTTTCGTGTATAGGCATTATGTTTATAAGTAAGCAGCTTTATTCAAGACATTTTATAAGGGAAGCATGTAGAGACCTTTATTTTAGTTGAGGCAAAGAAATGGAGGCAACTTTTTTTTTTTAATATATATTTTATTGATTTTTTACAGAGAGGAAGGGAGAGGGATAGAGAGTTAGAAACATCGATGAGAGAGAAACATCGATCAGCTGCCTCCTGCACACTCCCCACTGGGGATGCACCTGCAACCAAGGTACATGCCCTTGACCGGAATCGAACCTGGGACCCTTTAGTCCGCAGGCTGACGCTCTATCCACTGAGCCAAACCAGTTAGGGCGAGGCAACTATTTTTTAGCATGTTGAGGATGCAGAGGCTTGATGGTAAAATAGAGGTTCCAGAGCATAAGGAAAAAGGTTGGGAGAATGGGCATCAGTAGGGTATCTAAGAGTCACATGTGAGTATTAGTATCAAAATTCCTCAACTTCCTGATAGTGAATATGTGGTGAGAGGTGGCCTCTAAAGGTCTCCTTATGGTTTGGAAATACCTGTTTTCTTAAAACATGTGAATTCTCTCTTGAGTATACTGTATTGTGAACCTTTAAGAATATCTTGATCCTGAAGAAGTATTTCCATTTGTGACCTTAAATTAGAATTCTCTATATCATTTTACTGAGAGAGAATCAGGTTGGCAAGGTATCCTATCTAATAAAGAGGGGATATGCTAATTAACTCATGCCATCGCAAAGATGACGGCGCCCATAGCCAATAAGGAGGGAATATGCTAATTGACTGTCCTGCCCTCAGAGATGGCGGCACCCACAGCCAATAAGGAGGGAATATGCTAATTGGCTGCTATGCCCTCAAAGATGGCAGTGCCCACAGCCACAAGATGGCTGGCAGGGGAGGACAGTTGTGGGTGATCAGGCCAGCAGGGGAGGGAAGTTGGGGGGTGACCAGGCCTGCAGGGGAGGGCAGTTGGGGGTGACCGGGCCGACAGGGGAGGGCAGTTGGGGGCGATTGGGTTGGCAGGGGAGCAGTTAGGCGTCGATCAGGCCAGCAGGGCAGCAGTTAGGGGGTGATCAAGCTGGCAGGCAGAAGTGGTTAGGGGAAATCAGGCAGGCAGGCAAGTGGTTGGGAGCCAGCAGTCCCGGATTGTGAGGGATGTCCAAATGCTGGTTTAGGCCTGATCCTATGGCAGTCAGATATCCCCCGAGGGGTCCCAGATTGGAGAGGGTGCAGGCTGGGCTGAGGGACATCTGTCAGAATTGATTCCTTTTGGAAGCTCTGAGGGGGAATCCATTCCTTGCTTCTCTCTGAGCTTTTGATGGCTGCTGACAAGCTTTGCATTTCTTAGTTTGTGGCAGCATAACCTCAGTCTCTGCTTCCATCTTCATATGGTCTTCCCCTCTGTGTGTCTGTGTCTTAAATCTCCCCCTCCAAAGACATCAGTTATTTGACTTAGGAACCCCTCTAAATCCAGAATAATCTCATCTTTAAATCCTTAACTTACTTCTACAAAGACCATATTTCCAAATAAGGTCACATTCATTCAGGTACCAGGAATTAAGACTTGAATATATCTTTTTAGGGGTCACTATTTAACCTATTATGATTATCTAATACTTTTTCATATGGTTAGGATAGAGTGATCCTAGCCATTTCTTTTTACAGATTGGTTTTTAGTATTGTGAAACTATTTTCCTTGGTGAATATTTCCTAATTATGTGTTTTCATTTGAAATTTGAATGAGACTTTCCTGTATAGCTATTATGTTTATAAACCCTTATTTTTTTTTAGCAAATAAGAAGGAAAAGAAACTTTTTTTTCTCATTCATATGTTAGGTTACAGATGTTTACTATATCAGAAATTATTGTAGGAGTGAATCTTTAGTGTCTTTAGGTTGTTTCTGGGTGGGTAGAACAATTTTTCAGGAAATTTCTTTAATATACTATCACCACAGCTATTTGCTATATGATTAAATTAATTTTCAGGCTCCTCAAAAGGAATATTTATTTATACCTCAGTTATAGTATAGTGCTCAATTTTTCTATGTTATGCCCCTATTCTTTTTTGTTTTTTTCTAGAAATGCTGTGTTTGCAAGAAAAGTGGTGCTTCAATTGGATGTGTTGCACCTCGATGTAAACGAAGTTATCATTTCCCATGTGGACTTCAGAGAGAATGTATTTTCCAGTTCACTGGCAATTTTGCGTGAGTTAACTGTTGAACATGAAAGATGATGGTTAAAGAAAAGTCAGTAATGGATATGGATATTCCAATTATATAATTACTTCGTTAAATTTTTTTTCAAAGCTGCACTGAATTTACACAGTGTATATATATATTAAGGACTAAGGGTCTGGGGTTTGATTCTGGTCAAGGTCACTTACCTCAATCCCTATTCTGGAGGCAACCAAACGGTATGTCTCTCCCCCATCCATGTTTCTCGCTCTCCCTTCTACTCTCTCTGAAAATCAGTGGAAAAATATCCTCAGGTGAGGATTAACACCAACCAAAAAAAGTAGAAATAGTATTGCTAACAAAATTGTAGGTCTACTTTCTGCAAAGTAGACATTTATATTTAGGGCTATTCAGTGAAAAGTGGCAAAATGGAACCAATTTTGTTGGGTAAATATTAGAAATTCTGTTAATTCTTACAAATAAGTGTTTGTGAAAGGATCCAGAGGGTGTAGTTCATAAACATCATGAAGTGTTATCTGTACCTATTGAAGAAGAAGTTCACATATGAGAATCTTTAAAAAGTAATTTATCTTAATTAAGGGTTTGTATTTGGATAAATGTAATTGCTGCCAAATGTATCTTATTAATTTTGTAACAGTATGTTATTTTACCTTATATAATTCTAGATTTTTATATCACTCTTTAGATTTATCAGTAATAGTCCAGTTTTCTTTCATGGAGCCATATTTACTTCTAGTGTAAATTGAAGGCATATAAATTTGGAATCCAAAAAATAAATATTGCTCCCTGGATGCTCCTGAAAGTATTGGTTCTTGAATCCAGCTGTAAACATGAAATTTTTATAAATTTTGATATTAGGTATCATGAGTGTTTTATTTCTTTTAGTCCTTGTGTTCTTGACCAATTTAATGATTTTTTTCCTATGTAAAAAAACTGCAGTTTAGATAATACAAATGGAAATAAATTTAGTGGGTTAGGAATAAGTTATTATTTTCATTTTATCTGTTATATGATTAAATATTTAAATGTTAAGTTCCTTTAATTTTGTGCAGTTTTTACTGCAATGATGTGTGTATTCTGTTGCTAACAATCTTATATAGGATTCTCAACATAATATTAGTTGCTGAGATTCTGTGAGGGAAGGCTTACCACCAAAAGGTTCACATTTTGAAAGTTCAGTTAAACATGCTCATAGATTATGAAACTGACTTATAATGCCAAAGTTCCAGTCTGTTCTAGGTTAGTTATGAGAGAGAGAGAAATGAAGTTTCTCTTATAAATGTGAATTGTAATGCTATCCTAATTGTGCTTTGTAATTTATTAGATGTTGGTTTTAAATAATTTAGGTCATTTTGTTGGAACCATCGACCTGTTCAAATAATTACACCTAATAATTATAGAGAATCCTTACCATGCACCATTTGCTTGGAATTTATTGAGCCTATTCCAACTTATAGCATATTACGAAGTCCTTGTTGTAAGAATGCTTGGTTTCATAGAGACTGTTTACAGGTAAGATGTTTTGTAAGCTTTTTCTGATATAAAATTTGTTGCTTACTGCTTAAAATTTAAAATTGGAAAGAATTAACATGTGTGTTTTAGCTCATACTACTTGTAGCTTTTTAAAACATCTTTATTAAAATATCTTCTTGACAAAAATGCCAACTCCATCTTTAATATCAAGGAAATCTGATTGTCCATATGGTACCATAGATCTGTTAATATGTAACATGTTATTCAGTAACCTGCTGTATAAAATTGTTCATAAGCCATATTTTAATGGCTTAAAAAAATGCTTAATGTGCTCCATTTGCAGTATAACTTCTAATATAACTTGCAATATAACTTTCTGCTATGTGGTAGGAATTTGTAAGAGGTAATGAGAGGCAAAGGATATTAGAATAGCAAAAATGGCCCAACCTGCATGGCTCAGTGGTGGAGTGAATTGCGCGTACTCCGCGGGAGCCGTCTTAAACTCGGTTCATATAGATTTGCGGTGGAGTGCGGGAAACGTGTAAACTCGTCAGTGATTCTCTGTCATCATTGGTATTTCTGTCTCTGAAATCAATAAAAAAAATATATATATTTTTTAAAAGTAGCAACAATGTTTTTATGAATTAACCTTTAGAAATTCACCCGACACCGTAGTGTTAGAATAGCAAAAATGGCCCAACCTGCATGGCTCAGTGGTGGAGCGTCTGCCTATGAACCAGGAGGTCGCAGTTCGATTCCAGGTTGGGGCTTGGTCCCTGGTGGGGGGCTTGCGGGAGGCAGCCAGTCAGTGATTCTCTGTCATCATTGGTATTTCTGTCTCTGAAATCAATAAAAAATATATATATATTTTTTAAAAGTAGCAACAATGTTTTTATGAATTAACCTTTAGTAATGGCAATAAGATGTGAATAAAAGTAAACTATTGTTATCTAAAAAAATAAATAGAAACTTTATTGAAGCCTATTTTACATTAGGGTAAATTCACCCTAATGAATTGTACAATTAATATTTTAATACTTTAGATACGACTTTTTAATCTATATTTATCTAATAATTTTATTTGTTTCACAATAAATAAAACATATTTATTGTCAAGTTATTTACATATTTAAGCTTAGAAAACCAAGATATTTGAAATGATTATGTAATTGTAAACTAAGATATTTAAATGTTAGAGGCCTTTCCTATTGTATGTCAAACCTGATGACAAGTTTTCAAGTAAACGAAATAACATGAAATTTGACATTAAACAATTTAATATTATTTTATTCAGAAGGTATTTGAAAGTTAAAAAAATCTCAGTTATTAGTAACATTAAATATGTAGTATTCATGTAGTAAAGTGCCAACTGATAGTTATAGTTCATAGAATGCCAAATAACAGAGGATTTACTTGCTTTTTAAACCTTGGGTTTTATTATTGTTGTTTTTTTTTTAAATATATTTTATTGATTTTTTACAGAGAGGAAGGGAGAGGGATAGAGAGTTAGAAACACCAATGAGAGAGAAACATTGATCAGCTGCCTCCTGCACACTCCCTACTGGGTATGTGCCCGCAACCAAGGTACATGCCCTTGACCGGAATCGAACCTGGGACCCTTGAGTCCGCAGGCTGATGCTTTATCCACTGAGCCAAACCGGTTAGGGCAGGTTTTATTATTGTTTACTAAAATAAAAGGAGGTTACTACTGATTATAGATTATCCACAAATTTTTTTCCCCCTTTTAAGTTAAGAGATATTGCAAATCCTCTTATATATCAACTAGAGGCCTGGTACATGAATTTGTGCACGGGTGGGGTCCCTCAGCCTGGCCGGTGATTGGGGCTGATTGGGGCCTTCTCTCCCAGTCCCAATTGGGGATTATTGGGGCTGATTGGGGCTAGCCAGCTGGGAGGAGGGACCATGGGATGTTGGCCGGCCACGGGTGGTTGACTGTTGGAGTGCACTGACCACCAGGGAGCAGCTCCTGTATTGAGTACCTGCCACCTGGTGGTCAGTGCACGTCATAGCTATCATCCGGTCGTAATGGTTGCTTAGGATTTTATATATATAGACTAGAGGCCCAGTGCACAAAATCATGCGCAGGTAGGGTCCCTAGGCCTAGCCTGCAATCAGGGCCATCTTCTTCCCGTTCGTCAGTCCCCAGTCGCGCCCTGCCACCACTCACCCCAGTTCCCCATGGTTCCCCAATGGCCATCCAGCGATCAGAGCCTGCAGACTGCAGGGAGAGATCAAGAGGTGGTCAATGTACCTCATAGTGACTGTTTGATTAGTCGTTCTGATCATTAAATCTTTACAGTCCCTGGCCTCTTATTGTATAGGACTAGTGGCCCGGTGCTAGAAATTCGTGCACATTTAAAGGGAATTAATTAGAGGAAATATTTTAATATTGCTATTTGCCCTTTCTCTGTAATAGAAGTGTCCAGCCGGCCCCACCCCCATTGGGCAACACCAAGACTCGGCCGGCCTCAGCCCCATCTAGCCCCGCCGGGAGGGAGGGACAACCTCACATCCCGGCGCCGGGGTGGGGGTGTGGCCTCAGGTCCCCTGTCAAGCCCTGCTGGGTGGGGGGCGCAGCCTCAGGTCCCCTGCCCATGCCCGGCACCATGCAGCCCCAGGTACCTGCTGATTGGTGTGATGGCATGATGACCATTTGCATACTAGCCTTTTATTAAGATGATAGTCTTAAAAGTACTAACAGTAGTTAAAGTAGTAAAGGTTAAATGATTACTTTCAATTTTTTGTATGCGCCTTGAACATTTATATTTAGGGCTATTCAGTGAAAAGGCAAAATGGAACCAATTTTGTTGGGTAAATATTAGAAATTCTGTTAATTCTTACAAATAAGTGTTTGTGAAAGGATCCAGAGGGTGTAGTTCATAAACATCATGAAGTGTTATTTATACCTATTGAAGAAGAAGTTCACATTCTATGAGAATCTTTAAAAAGTAATTTATCTTAATTAAGGGTTTGTATTTGGATGAATGTAATTGCTGCCAAATGTATCTTATTACTTTTGTAACAGTATGTTATTTTTCAAGACAAATAAGATTTGCCTCATTTATCTATCTATATATCTATATATATAAAAGTGTAATATGCAAATCAACTGGATGGCGGAATGACCGGTCGGCTATGATGCACACTGACCACCAGGGGGCAGACGCTCAATGCAGGAGCTGCCCCCAGCCTGCAGGTCCTGATTGCCCAATTGAGGCCTGCCAGCCAACCTCTTGTTCCCTACCCCCAGCCGGCAGGCTCCAGTTGCCTGATGAGGAACTGGGAACCGGGGTTGGGTGGTGGCAGACACAGGTGGTGCCAGTGCCCTGATCACTCTGCTGGTCGCCCCACACACAGAGGGCGGCGGGGGGTGGAGGGGGCGGCTGCCGGCAGCTGGGGCAGATCGGCCATGATCACAGGCCAGGCCTGGGGACCCTCCCCTTGCACGGATTTCGTGTGCTGGGCCTCTAGTGTGTTAATAATGAACCAGAGAGAGGTTCTCAAACGACCTAGTATTCACCAGGCTTTTTGTGAACATTCTGAAGATACCAAGTTTCTAATTCTGTCATTAAAACGTAGAAATAAGTCCTAGCTGGTTTGGCTCAGTGGATAGAGTGTCGGCCTGAGGACTAAGGGTCTGGGGTTTGATTCTGGTCAAGGTCACTTACCTCAATCCCTATTCTGGAGGCAACCAAACGATATGTCTCTCCCCCATCCATGTTTCTCGCTCTCCCTTCTACTCTCTCTGAAAATGAATGGAAAAATATCCTCAGGTGAGGATTAACACCAACCAAAAAAAGTAGAAATAGTATTGCTAACAAAATTGTAGGTCTACTTTCTGCAAATATAAAAAGATAGCCACCTTGCCCTGGCTGGTGTTTAGTGGTTAGAGTGTCAGCTGTGCACCAGAGGCTCTCAGGTTTGATTCCGGGTCAAGGGCATGTACCTGGGTTGCAGGTTTGATCCCTGGCCCTAGTTGAGGTTTGTGCTGGAGGCATCCAATCGCTGTGTCTTTCTCACATCGATGTTGCTCTCTCACACGCCAACCCTCCCTTCCACTCTCTAAAAAAAAAGAAAAAGAAAAAAAATCAGTGGAAAAAAATACCCTTGGGTAAGGATTAAACAACAACAAAAATACAGCCACATGGATACCTGTCTATGATATAAGTATTAATAAGCAATTGTTACTTGACTGGAGTTCATTCATATTCTCTATAGGAGTTCCAGTGGCTTTTCCACCCTAGTACTAGAATCTTAACTGAAATAATAAATGGAATCTGCCCTATCTAGATAGCTACAATAATACCTGAATAATTTAAATATCTGAATTCATTAATATAAAAGAGTCAAAGGAAGAACAAACTTAATGCAATAGAATGCAAAATTTTGAAAAAAACCTATGCAAAAATTTCATTGTTTTTACCACTACAAATGCTATATTATACATTGGGATTTTGTGAGGAGAGACTATAGGTTAATATAAAAGAAATTAATGGACCCCAGCTGGTGTTCCTAAGTGGTTGAGCATCGACCCATGCACCAAGAGGTTGTGGGTTCAATTCCCAGTCCCGGGTTGCAGGCTAGATCCCTGGTGGGGGCTATGCAGGAGGCAGCCAAGTCAATCAATGTTTCTGTCTTCTCCCTCTCACTTCCTCTCTGAAAAATAAAAACATATTAAAATTAATGGAAACTTTTGAAACTTTTCACTCTGGCTATGTAGAGAATTGTCACTATTCTTGTGCATTTTGGATTTCTCCTTCATTGTTCTGGTCTTGGTATCTTCCATATGCCCTCTGGTGTTTTTTCCTCCATACTAGATAGACACTTTTTGTATCACATCCTATATTTAGTATGTATTATAATTGCTTGCAGACCCTTTAGGTTTAGATTTCAGAAACTTGTTGCTTTCCTACCACATGGGTGTGTGTGTGCGTGTGTGTGTGTGTGTGTGTTACTTGGTAGTAGTTTGAACCTGGGCTCCTATTTGTTAACTTCTTTCTTCACCATCCGAAAATCATTCCCGAACCCAAGTCTGTCAGGTCTACCTAATAGATATTTTTGTGTATACTTTTTCGTTGCTGTTCTCTCCTTCTATTTTAACTAGACTTTTGTAGGAGCTTACTGAGCTGGTCTTTCTCCTGCATGCCTTATTTCCTATAATTTCTTCACACTATTGGTTTTGATTTACCTGTTTAGCCTCCTTACTTAGTTCACTATGGCCAGCCTGTCATCCTAAGTTTATTAATTAGTTTTCTAATCACATGTGCTTACTTGTTTTGATATATGCTTGATTTGATATATGCTCTTTTTTAGTTTTGTAATGTCTTTTGTCCCATTTTCCTGGCAGACTCCTGTGTCTTCTTCCAAAATTAGCTTTGACAGTTTTGTCAGGCTCTTATATAGACTGAGGTACTTCTTCCTCTCTCTTCCATGTATATACTTACAAAAACTTGTACACTATATTAGAATTGTATACTGTATGCCTATTCATAAGTCATTTTATATTTCTGTTTTTGGTACATAGCATAGTGTTTGGTGTCTATATAGTAGGGATTAAATATTTGTTAATGAAGGAGTGCTATTAGTTTGAGTTATAGTTTTCTGTTTCCCTCTGCATACCCTCTGCCTGCTGCCTTTGTATTTGTAGTAACTGAAGAGTGAGAATAGGTTTTATACTTCTCCCTCTTAGGAAGAAAACTAACAGAGTGAGTTAAAAATAGAACCAAGGATACTTTTTATGTAGCACTTATTTAAATATATTTCCTAGATGAAGTAACTCAAGATTTTTACTATTTTATTCATAGACATGGCCAACACAATATTTGCGAACAGAAATGATATTAGACACCAAAGGTTAAGAGGAATGTATGGGTGAATATATAGTAAAGCTAAGAACAGTCAATTCATTAGCTTAATTTTTTTTTTGGCAATTGGGAAAAAGATCTCCAAATTTTAGCAGTGGGATAACTTAGTTTATCAAAGTTTGAGAACCATTAGTATACAAAATAAGATTTCATTATATATTGAGTGAAAAGTAGCACATGTTCTGTTATAAAGTTCATAACCTAATATATTGTTAAATTATTAAAGATTTTCTATTTTTACTACAGGTTCAAGCAATAAATGCAGGAGTGTTTTTCTTTAGGTGCACAGTATGCAATAATAGTGACATATTTCAGAAAGAGATGTTGAGAATGGGAATTCATATTCCTGAAAAGTGAGTACCACGTTTGACAAAAGATATTTTATAAATAGGATTTAATGACAGTGAAAATAGTCATTTATGTCTGATTATGTAATGATGGAGAAGCAGCCACTTCAGATGGGGAAATGTAAAGCAGCCCCTGCCACCTCCTCTTTCTCCCCAGATTGCTAGTTCTTGAGAGCAGGGACTGTGACTTAAATTCTCATTAGTTGATTTATAGTCTCTGAATAAACACCTCAGTTGTATGTAATGTTAATTGATTTATACACAAGTATAGTAGGCTTCAAAATGGTATGTATAAATTAAGAGAATCAAGATGTGATTTAAAATGTCTAATAAGAATTTTGTTAGTACTTAAAGATGAGGAATCCTGAAATAATGGTACTAAACTTGAAATAAATGGAAGTGAAATGTTAAAAATGTAAGTTAGAAAATTTCTGCTTAATTTTTCAGTTAGCATTTGAAAATTCACTGTGAGACTAAATGTAGGCTAAAATGACACTAAAGGATTTATATCTTGAAGAGAATGATTAATCTTAAAAAACAAATTTTAGCCTCATTCCTGAGTACTATTATGTGAAAAGTTTTTATTTTTGGGTTCATTACCAACCCTTTAATGAAACATTTTAGGTCAAAGTATATTTTATGTCTTGCTTCATTTACAGAGATGCATCTTGGGAATTAGAAGAAAATGCTTATCAAGAGCTTCTGCAGCACTATGAGCATTGTGATGTACGAAGATGTCGTTGCAAGGAAGGGCGAGACTATAATGTGCCTAATAGGTATACCGGGAAGTTCACTTGTGCTTAATTCATGTTCTTATTGAAACCTTCAGCTTAGAAAGCAGAGTTATAGTTAGTGAAATGTATTTGCTCTTAGGATGTTTGAAGTTTTAACTTTATTGTATATTTACATCTGTTTACAGAAAAATTATGCACTCAGCATAATTGCAACTTATTTTCTTGGTGCATTTTTGTGAGGCTCTATTTTCTAGTGCTGCACTGGTCTTATATGGTAGCCACTAGGCACATGTGACTATTGAACACTTGAAGTGTGGCTGTTCCCAATTTAGAGGTGTTGTAAGTGTCAAATACACACTGAAGACATAGTATGTATCTTAGTTAGTAGGGCTGCCATACAAAATACCACAAACAAGATGCCTTAAATAATAGAAATTTGTTTCTACTAACAGTTCTAGAGGCTAGAAGTCCATGATAAAGGTATCCACAGATTTGACTTCTTCTGAAACTTCTCCTTGACTTGCACATGATTCCCTTCTAGTTATATCTTCACATGATTGTCCCTCTTTCTATGTCCAGGCATATTGGATTAGGGTCCACCCATTTGACTTTATTTTATTTTAATTATCTCTTTAATAGCCCTATCTCCAAACACAGTCACATTGTGAGATACTGGGTGTTAGGACTCCAACATATGAATTTTGGGGAGACACAATCCAGCCTATAACAGTTAAGAAAAATAAGTGAAAATATCTTAATTTTATATTGATTACTTATTTAACACTAGAGGCCCGGTGCACAAAAATTTGTGCACTGGGGGTGGGGGGGGGGTCTCTCAGCCCGGCCTGTGTCCTCTCACAGTCTGGGACCTCTTGGGGGATGTTCACCTACTGGCTTAGGCCCGCTCCCCGGGGGATCGGGCCTAAGCTGGCAGTCAGACATCCCTCTGGCAACCCGGGAGCTCTCGGGGGATGTCCACTTGCCAGCGGGGAGCAGGCCTAAGCTGCAGTCGTTCATCCTTAGCGCTGCTGAGGAGGCGGGAGAGGCTCCCGCCACCACCGCTGTGTTGGCAGCCATCAGCTTGGCTGAGAGGAAACTGATAAGAGAGAGAACAAATATGGGCTTGGTAGTGAGTCTGGGTCCTGAGGAGCTGCACAATACCTGAATTGTCTGAGCAAGCATTTTGTAGGAAATAATTCCTCATCTTGGATAAGAAAGATAATATGTTAGGTAAGGTAATACATTTACTGAATGCCTCTTCCATAACAGATACACTGGCATAGTAATTGCCAAATATAAAAAAAAAATTTTTCCCTTCTTTAATCATAGTCTTTCTGATGTTTATATTCTTTGTGTATGTGCATGTTCATATACATGTTGATACTTAGAGAATATTTAATGAAGGAAATTTTAAACATAAATAATGAAATAGAAAAATATTCTTTAAGAATATGTAATGCAGTAACAACGCAGATAATCTATTTTTCTTCCTTTCGGTTGGTTTTGTGTGTGAGGTGGACAGTGAGGCCTGTGGCAGTGTGGGAATTTGACTAAGTTAATATCAAAATGTCAATATTTGCTTCTCTTTATCTCCTCAGCAAATGGGAAATAAAGCGTTGTCAATCTTGTGGTTCTAGTGGAACACATTTAGCCTGTTCCTCACTACGATCGTGGGAACAAAATTGGGAGTGTTTGGACTGTAGAGGTATTACCTACAACTCAGGTAACATTTTGTAATTTTGAATAAAGATGTTCTTACTTAAATGCATATTATTTAAAAGTTTCTACCTATATTTCTGTTATGCTCACACTGGATTTTAAATCTGCAGGGGGTTTCCAAAAAGCCAAAAAACATACATTACCCAACACTAACAATGTTGGAATAAATGATTGCTTGTTGGAAGAATCGTCACCTAAATTACCCAGACAGTCACCTGGAGCCCAACAAAAAGATCTGCTGAGGTGTGTATTTTGAATTGGAGAAAAATATAAAACTCTATTCTGAAAAAATGAATAGGAAGTGGCTGCATACACTTAGAATGCTAGCTGATCTTTACAGTAGTCTGGAAGAATGTTTTTCAAACAGCAGGACCCAACATTTGATCATGAAATCATGCAATCAGCACTTAAAAAAGAAAATGAAACAGGATAGACTAGAATATAAAGTATCATATTGCACTGCAAATAGAAAGAATGTGTGTAAAATAATTTTAGTATTTAATTGTATATGGGCTCATGATGTAGAACACATTTTTATTATAGATAATTTTCAAGATACTTTGAAAACACATATTTGGAAAGTATGCTTAAACTGTTATTTGGTTATAGAGTTAGGAAATTAAATAACATGAATATCATGTTACTTTGTTAAAAAAAAGGAATTATATTTAATATAGAGTTACCTTTTTTATTTTGTAATCATTTGCTTAATACTATAATACTCACTATAAGTATCGGATAAAATGTCATCTGTGTAGGAAGCTTAAGGCATATGGACAAGTATTATTTTATTAATGCCTAACTTTTCATAAGACAGCAAAATGAGTAACTTTGAAAATCATTCTTAACCATTTAAATAAGACTAGAATTACATCTTCAAACTGTGTCAGGTATTTGTCCAACTGAAGTTCAGATTTTTAAGTATATGTATAGCTTAATAAAAGAAAGTTCATAGAGCCTTGTTGTTGCTAATAGGGAAAAAATAGACATAAGTAATATTAGTAGCTAAGCATGAGGAAGTACTCTCTTATTAAAAATAATACCAAGTTAAAATTTAGAAGGACAAGAGAATTTTTGTGAAAATATTTGATAACTAGATTTGCAAATAGAAGCGATACTATTTAAGAAGTGAAGAATTGCTGTTTTAAAATACCACTGTATTAACTGAAAATTTGTTACAAATATTTTTATACTAGAGGCCCGGTGCACAAAATTTGTGCGGGGGAGAGGGGTGTGTGGGGTGTCAGCCCAGCCTGCACTCTCTCCAATATGGGAACCCTCGGGGGATGTTTGACTGGTGGTTTCGGCCTGATCCCTGTGGGCCTGGTTGCCCCTAACTGCCCTCCCCTGTAGGCTTGGTCACCTCCAACTACCCTCCCCTACAGGCCTGGTTGCCGCCAACTGCCCACCCCTACAGGCCTGATCGCCCCCAACTGCCCTCCCCTGCTGGCCTGATCGCCCCCAACTGCCCTCCCCTGCCAGCCTGGTTGCTCCCAACTGCCCACCCCTGCAGGCCTGGTCACCTCCAACTGCCCTCCCCTGCTGGCCATCTTGTGGTGGCCATCTTTGACCACATGGGGGCAGCCATCTTGTGCAAGGGTATGATGGTCAATTTGCATATCACCTCTTTATTATATAGGATTTTTAGTATAAAAAAGATGTTCATGTTAGTTTTAAATAATTTTAATGTGTAGGTTTCTAAAGATGTTATGCCAGGGAAGTTTGAGTCCTTGCACCTGCTCTAATATGCCATCATGTTTAGAAGAACAACATAGTATTTCCAGTCCAGACAGGAGCAAGGAATCAACTTGCAACAAGACAGTTTATTTTTGAAGGATTATCTTCCAAAAGATTTTGATTTCATTCAACCCGGGTTAATGAATATGGTAGGGGGTTGTGTGAAGAAAGAAAAAAACAAAACCTGGCCCACATTGGGCCATTATAATGTCTTAGGATGGGAAAAATTTATACTTAATGTATAAAGATGATAATGACATTGCCCCAAACAGGATCATTTTAAGTACATCAATACCAATTACAGATGGAAAAATTGAGGCAGGGTTGCAAATTCTCTTTATAATATTAGTTCTGTTAACTTTATGGTTAAAAATACATTGTAATTTCTTAAACCTATAGTTCTCTTGTATAGTAAGCAGAGACTATGTTTGCTTTATTTTTTTAAAGGATCTAGTAAATATGAAATAAGATACAGTTTAATAAGTGTGTAGTAGTCATTGGCCAGAAAGGTCAGAGTTTAAGATTCTTACTCTTTCTTATACCTAAATCTACTTAATTGATCAAATTTGAGATAATCATCTATGAACATTCTCATAAATCAGTTATGACATTAGATTATTCTAATTTGGTAGCATATTGGGGAAAGAGAATCAATAATTTTGAACTAAAGTTATTAAATAACTGTTTTGGGTTCCAGTGGCAGCATTGTCTGCTTTTGGGTGAGAGATGGGAAGAACTTTCTTTTAATCTTTTTTTGTTTCTTTTTAACTGTATATTGCCATGTCACTTAAAGCATTTTAGAGTCTTTACCTCTGTGTTTAAATTCATGTTTTATAGGCAAGGCAACAAATTTAGGAGAGACATTTCAACAATAATTATAGAGCTAGGATTTCAAATTACTAAAAAAACAAAAAGATTATATATCAACAAAGCCGATATCTGGAATAGTGCCTTAAATGGATTCAGAAATCAAAAGTTTAATCCTTCATACACAATTGAAGTTGCATATGTTAATGAAAATGATAATTTTGGAACAGAGCATCCTGGATCAAAGCAAGAATTCCTAAGTCTTTTAATGCAACATCTTGAGAACTCACCATTGTTTGAAGGGTCCTTGTCAAAGAACTTGTCCCTAAACTCTCAAGGTAATTATTTATTATTGTACATACTGCATATACCATGTGTAAAGGAAGAGATGGCTGGTTAAAATTGATATTCAATACATGTGGTAAAAATGTATAATTTACTTTGTTAATAAAATACTGATAGAATCACAGAAAAATGAGGGTGGGGCAGTAATAGTTTTAAAAGCAAATTTTGTAGTGAAATATTTTCTTTAAGAATGTTCTTAATTTCCTTATAGCAATATCCTGCTTGATAATGATTCCATAATTAACTGCAACTTCTTAAAAATGTATTTTATATTCATTCTAATTTTATTTGAATAGACTGGGCAAATGGATGGATGATTATCGGAGCCCTTCCTGTTCAGACATTTGTAAATTGCAGTTGGCACGTTTCTTCACAACCTACGAATTTTATAACATAATTTTCTGGTCCACATGTAACAGATTTTTAAATGTATTTTTGCTTTCAAGAATTTTTCTTACACAATTATGTATATGATACTTTTATGTGTTTATTTCTAGGGAGGAGTTAATATGATTAAAACAGGAATCTCAAAACTCTGGTTAATTCTAGCATTCTTTTTTAGTAACTTTTATACCATTTTTGCTATAATATAGGAAATTTGAAAGTGAAAAGACATTTCAGTCCATTTGAATTCCTTCCTATATATTCTCTAGAACTTCTTCGCTATTACCTGAAGCATGATTGAAATAATTGAGAAACTACCAAAGATCATTTGTACTATGTATACTACCCACAATTTAAATATAAACTCAAAAAAAAATTTAAGTAATTAATAATGTTAATTCAAGGCATTTTGGGTTTATAGGTGTGTTTTTTTTAAGAGTTTCTGTATTTTTTTTCTACAATAAGTTATTACTTTATATTCAGAAAAAAGAAATTTTGTGTGTTTTAGGTGAAATCTATATTTTATACATGTTATAGCTTCTATGAATTGTTATTTTCCCATTTATCTAATGCTTAGATTATTTTTAATTTATTATAGATGTATTTATTATATATGATGTATAATAATAATAGAAATGTATTTAATGTATTTCCATCTATTTACAGCTCTGAAAGAGAATCATTACTATGAAGCTGGCAAAATGCTTGCCATTTCTTTGGCTCATGGTGGTCCTTCACCTGGTTTTTTTTCTAAAACTTTGTTTAACTGCCTTGTTTTTGGACCAGAAAATACCTTTCCAACTTTAGATGATGTTTCAGACTTTGATGTGGCACAGATTTTAATCAGGGTAAGAAATGTGCATGTTTATTAAAATGTAGACTACATTCTAAGTAGATTTGAATATAAATACTATATCCACAATAGAGTAATAATATTCTGTGGAGTACCTAAGGGGTATCAATATTTCTGTTTATCAGCAGAGTACACAACCAGTTAAAAGATAGATGTAGAATGTGTTTATTAAACAGGCTCCAGTGAGCTCCCTTACCTCTTCCACTACATAGAGATAAAACTGAAATATAGCCATCTATGAACCAGGAAGTAGCTCTTACCAGACACCAAGTCTGCCAGCACTTTTATCTTGGACTTCTCAACCTCCAAAACCCCGGGAAATAAATGTTTGTTCTTTAATAATAATAACAATAATAATAAAAGATTTGAAGGTCAGACAGCTAGAGATCAAAGTGCCAAGTTTAATATTGATAAAACCAATTGGATAATGTGACTTCAGTCTGTGCTCAAGATGGCTTGCTAACATTTCTCAGAACTAGATGGATTTATCTGTCCTGCCGGAGACAATATAAGGCAGGTTTCTTGTTTCATGCTAGAGAGCAGATAAAAGTATGTTTTCCTGCAAGGCAGTGGATCTGAAGAGAGCAAGGACTTAGTTTACCAGTCAGAAAACTTGTAATTCCTCCTATAGGGAGTTATGAGTGCTAGGTTGAATTTTTTCCATGGGGAAATTAGTGGGTAGACTCAATGTTCCCACCTAAAAAGAGTTAACATTTATTGAGCCCTATACTGCACATGTTACATGTACAAATTCAATTTAGTTATCGTATGCTGGCTGCATAAGGATCATTGCTTACATCAGGCATATCAAACTCAAAGGCTAACATGGGCCAAATAAACAAGGTTTAAGTTTATGTGGGCCGCAAAAAAAAAAAAAGCTTCAATATTTATAGAAACATAGGTTTATTTCGATAGAGACATGCTGAATACAAAGGGCTGAAATAAATGAGTAATCATTAACATAAAATAATAGAACATTTTAATAAAATTTGGTGGGGTTTCACTCCAGAGTGGTGGCGAGGCCTGTGTCCCACTTGGGGGAAGCCAAATGTTGGATTGTTGGCACCAGGTCCTTGGTGCTGTTTATTTTTAAATGGCCAGTGCGCATCATGGCAGCTCCTGCATTGGGCAGTATAGTTGACCTTGCAATACATGGGTTACGGGCACCTAACTCCACACAGTCAGAAATCCACATATAATTTTTTGTTTGCCCAAACTTAACTACAGTTGTCTCTCAGTATCTGCGAGAGACTGGTTCTAGGATCTCCAACCCGTGCAGATACCAAAAACTGCAGATGTTCACATCTCTTATATAAAATGGTATAAAACAATGCATAGTATTAGCCCTCCTCATTTGCTGATGCAAAACCCATGGATACAAAGAGCTGATTGTATTGAGAGAGAGAAAAATCTACATGTAAGAGGACCCACACAGTTCAAACCCATGTTGTTCAAGGGTCAACTGTGCCATCATGTAGTAAAATATATTATAAAAATAAAACAGAATATGAGAAAGGAGATAGATAATGCTTGGGGTATAATAGGTTAGAGCTGAGGCTAAGCTGCTATAATATAGACACCCAAAAGACAGTGTCTCAAAAAAAATGGCAGGTATTTATTTCTCTCTAAAATCTGTTGTTTAGATTTTAGGGGTTAGGGTTGGCAAACTGTGGCTGTAGGTCAAGTCTGGCCTGCTGCATCTTTTTTGTAAATGAAGTTTTATTGAAACTACACACCCATTTTTATATTTCTATGACTGTTTTTACACTATAATGGTGGAGTTGAGTAGTTGTGACAGACATCTACTCACAAAACATAAAATGCTATCTGGTTTTTACAGAAATGACTCATTTTAGAGTTATAGTAGTGGTACATCTGGTCATCCAGGAAATTGGATTCCATTTTCTCATTGTTATGTAATCACTTAGGATAGTGTTTGCATCTACATGACTGAAGCTTGCACTTAAGGGAGAAAAAATGGAAGTAGAGTGGGGGGGGGGGGAGTTTGACACGTTTTCACTCATCCCATTGGACAGCCTTAGTCACATATAGCAAGGAAAATTTGGCTATGCACCTAGCTAAAACTCAGTGTGGTGGATTTGGGAGGATAAGGCAAAATATATTCAACTATTATTTTGAACCAGGTAGTCAGGAAAAACTTTGGAGAAATGCAGAGACCTAATATGAATGAGAGAATCCATGTAAATCTCTGGGAGAGGAGTTTTTTTTGGAAAGAAGAAATAGCAAGGAAATTTTCTATTGACTGCCTTGTATTTTTATCTTTCTCCTTCTGTAAGTGTTCAAGAGCTAACCTATATGAAAGCGTTGGCACATAAATGGTCAAGAATTTTTCTGTTTATGATGTTCCCTGAAATACTCTTTTGGTTGTAGTCATCTAAGTCTCAGCTGATATTCTTTCTCTTTCATGAAATCTCAGGTCATTTCTCTTGCCTCTCCAGTGCTATGTAACTGTTCTATGTCAATTATTGCCTTTTATGTAAGTAATTTCCTATGTTAAAGGGGTATTATACTCAAGGTTTCTTGAAAGAAGAAGTATACAATGTTTATTAAACTGGATTGTCAGGTATTTATTCTAGAAAAATAATTTTTGGTATACTTTCATTCCATTCTGGTGTACTCAAGAATTGAGTATAAAATAATGTGTCATTTGAAATGTAAGTATCATTTACAAGTGAAAGTGGAAACTGGGTATATTTTCTTCTTCATTACAGATAAATAGTGCAACAAATGTAGCTGACTTAAACTCAATTATGAATGAATGCTATAACTACCTAGAGCTTATTGGATGTCTAAGAATTATAACATCATTAAGTGACAAATATTTATTGGCAAAAGACATACTTGCTTACCATGTAATTAAAAGAGTCCAAGCACCTTTTGAAAGGTAGGTTATTTATATGTGGAAGATTTACTCAAATTACATGTTAATTATCTTATAATGTGAGATATATTTGATAAAAATTTTAAATAATTTAAAAACTAACCTGTTAAGGAAGACTACTGTTCTGACCATATTGCATAGAATTGCATAAATATATGATGCTTATGTAGGAAGAGTAATCATCATCTCAATTTATAATTATTTTTCTAAATAAAAATTATTTTAAAAATTCTTACTACTTAAGCCAACTATTTTATCTCTCCTCATTAATTTAATAACTATATATTGAGCACCTGTTGTCTGTTGGGTAATAAGTACTGAGCGTTCTTTGATTAACAAGGTAGATGGGATTTTTTAAAAAAATTCTTAATTGTTTAAAGTATTACATAAGTCTCCTTTTTCCCCCATTGACCTCTCTCTGGCCGCTCCCATCCCCCAGCACATGCCCTCACCCCCCTACTGTCTGTGTCCATTGGTTATGCTCATATGCATGCATACAAGTCCTTTGGTTGATCTCTTACCCCCTCACCTCCCACCTTCCCTCATAGGTAGGACAGCCTGTTTGATCCTTCTGTGTCTCTGGTTCTATTTGTAGATGTGATTCTTGCTCTTTAGCTTTAGAACACTGGTCTTTAAACTTTTTGTTCCAATAATACTTTTAATTAATTTTGAAAACTTACATATGTCCTCATACTCTATTTTTTAATAATGAAAAACAAAATATATTTGAAAGTAGGAAGAATGGTATGGCATGTAATCATCACCCATATCAATCAACCCGTGGCCAGTCTTGTTCATCTAACCTACCCTTGTTATTGACTCAAGTATTATTTTCAAACTATTATCAGACATCATGTTATCTCAAAAGTAATCGGGTTTTTCTTTAAATTTTAGTATCATTAATCCATAGATTTAAATATACTTGTGTTGAAATTGTTACAGTTATCTTTACTGAAGTTCAAATTGTCTCATCTTTTGCCAGTATAAGCCTTATTATGTTTGAGGTTTTTTTAGGTTGACCCTTAATGGTCTTTGAGAGCCACCTTGCTATGTGGTATAGTAATATGTTTCAGTCTCATTATACTGTGCTAATGGACCTTTGTTTCTTTGAATGGGAAATGATATTTCAAAACCAGAGTCTGGATGCTAGGGATGCTCATTTTTGCCAGGTTTGTCATTGTTTCTAGGCCTTTTCAGTGGACTAAAACTAGGAAATACAGTGCTTTTTGTTGTTTTTAAGATAGAATACATTATGAGTTTATACTGATACTTCAAATTCACTACTATAAGATGTTTAACTTTCCTTTGTCTCATGTTGAGAATCCTAGTTCTCAAAGTCACTGGAGAATTAGAATCTATAATAGTAAAAGCATAATATGCTAATTAGACTAAACAGTCGAACGACTTTCCGGACATCCTTCCAGACGAAGCCACCGCGGCGGGGGCCGAGGCAGAGGCAGTTAGGGGCGATTAGACAGGCAGGCAGGTGAGTGGTTAGGAGCCAGCGGTCCTGGATTGCGAGAGGGATGTCCAACTGCCGGTTTAGGCCTCATTCCACTGCAGGATTGGGCCTAAACCGGCAGTCGGACATCCCCTGAGGGGTCCCAGATTGCGAGAGGGTGCAGGGGCCCTCCACCCCCCTGGATGAATTTTGTGCACCGGGCCTCTAGTCTGCATATATACAGTAAAAGCCTAAGCGACCATTAGGACCGAAAAACCGGAATGACCAGAACGACCGGTTGACCAGTCACTATGACGCACACTGACCACCAGGGGCAGATGCTCAACTCAAGAGCTGCCCCCTGGTGGTCAGTGTGCTCCCACAGCCAACCTCCCGCAGCCCCTCCCCCCCCCGTCACCTGGCCAACCTCCCATGACCCCTTCACCCAGTCGGCCATCCCCCGACTGGCAGGCCAACCTCCCCTGACGAGCTGACCCCCCGATAGGCCTCGATTGCCGGCCAGGCCAAGGGACCCCACCTGTGCAGAATTTGTGCACCGGGCCTCTAGTATGAAATAATTACTCACTTGACATATTCCATATTTTATAAACAGTAGTCTCAGAATAACAGTACTACCATAGACAGTTTGACTCAGTGGATAGAGTGTTGGCCTGTGGACTGAAGGGTCCCGGGTTCGATTCTGTTCAAGGGCACATGCCTGGATTGTGGGCTCGATCCCCAGTGGGAGGTGTGCAGGAGGCAGCCGATCAATGATTCTCTCTCATCATTGATGTTTCTATTTCTCCCTCTCTCTTCCTCTCTGAAATCAATAAAAATATACTTTAAAAAAAAAGAATAACAATACCAACAGTATCACCAATAACAAATACTATTGAAAACAGGTTAAAATTGTTTTTCTATTTTTTTGTTCTAGGGCTATAGTGTCAAATTACCGTGTCTTAAAGTCATTTGTAATAGTTATATTTTGTGTTGTTATACTACCAACTGGGTATACTTCTTTCATTTTTTATTTTTAATGTTTTTTTAATTAAAATTTAATTTTAAAAAAGTTATGTAAAATATTTGTCAAATCTATAATGAAACTACAGTACATTGAAAGAACTCAGCTCTGTGATACAAATTATATTCAAAGAAGTATAGCTTTTATCTTTATCACATCTACCTTCCATTCATCATGACGTAATCATTTTGGTGGCTTTTATTGTTTATTCTTTCATTTTTTTTGTTTAAATAATAGCAGGTAACTGTATAAGTGTATGTGTACTCATTTCGCTTAGATAAGATACCATTCACTTTTTTTTTCTTTTTTTTTACTGGGCAAAATATTCTGGAGATCACTCCATGGTAGTAAATAGACATAGTCCTCATTCTGTTTTAGAATTCTATAGAACTCTGTTGTTTGGATATATCATTATATGGGTTTTTTTCAAGTTTCCTTTTTTTTTTTTTTTTTTTCAACCAGTTTTCTATAGATGGACATTTAGGATGGTCCCCAGCACTCTCACAAATTAAAATATAATACCATAAACTTGAATATAACTCCCAATATATTTTTAATATTGCAATTTAAAAATAAGTTACATAGCTCTTTTAAATGTATCCAAATGTCCTGACTATAGGCCTCTCAAATAGTAAAATTTTATATGAATAGAATTACCATTTATAATTATGGTTAATACACAGAATAACCCCATATAATATAAATTTTGATGTGGTTATTTTAAAATTTGAAGTGCATCTCTTAGTGAAAGAGATGTTTATTTCCCCAAGTGGTTCATGTATCTTCAGATGGATTTTTCTGATTGCTAACTCAGAGAATTTATAATTGTTTATTTCTTCTGTTTTATTTTGTTTTTATAGATATGACTAATCTAGATGTCAGGAAGTGCTTCCCAATCTGTTTAATTGGTGTTTAAATTAAAACTGAATGATAAATAGGAGTTAGGCAGATAAAGATGAAGAGGACAAGATAAAAGCGGAAGAGTAATCCCTCCTATGTAAAAGATAAAATATCATATAATGAAAAAAAATTGTAAATATTTATCTGAACTCATAAGAGTCTTATAGATGTCAGAAATAACAAGGAAACCAAAAGCCAAATTCCCTAGCTGTCATATGAAATCAGAACCCTCAGTTTGCACAAACTTGGGTTTGGTATCCTGCATGTACACTCATCTGAAGCAAAGAAATTAACAAAGTAATTGATTTTAGGATTCATAGAAATTGTAGAGTGCATTGCTAAAGCAAATACATAGCAACTGTGTTTGGAAATTGCTGCAGCCTGGGCCTATTGGGAGCGCTAATGATAGATATATTGCTAAAGAAGAGGCATTCCATATAGAAGGCAAAACACACAAACATCGAAAAAAGCAAGTATTGGGAATAGCACTCAAGAATTTAAATAACAACGAGATCCTAACCAGAACTTCGCTGGAGATCCTAACCAGAACTTTGGCTAGAGATCCTGGCTAGAGGTCCTGACTAGGCTGCTGATCAATTGAAGGCTGTCTCCGTGTCTTTCCTTCTTCGCCGACTCCGTCCACACCTTTGGGGACCCCTGGACCTGCTGGGGTTGGACCCCAGCAAGGGACATCTGGGAAAGCTGATGAAAATTCTATTGAGATCTCCCCTGAGACCTCCGCTAAATCCCCACTTTTGGAAAGTAAATAAAATCGCTCAAGACAAAAAAAAAAAAAAAAAAAAGAATTTAAATAACAAAACAAACTGAATGAGATAAAATATTAGTATAGTAAAACTGCAATATAAGGGACTAATTCGGGCGTGGGGGAGTTCGTTAAAGTCGAAAGTCTATTACATAATAAACTAGGTTGTCTGATTGTGTGTATGTTAAAAAATTGACGAAGTAGTTTACCTGTTTTTACTTATGTAGAAATGTTTATGTAAGTAAAATTAAGTATGTATAAAAAGTTTGATTTCACAGAAAAGTTTTCTATATGTATTACAGTAATTTTAAAATCACCTGTCACCCCGAGTAAACAAATGCACACGGGTGGTGTCATGTGGTATGATCATATGCTAATTATTCACCAAACACTGTTTATGACTGGTGACTGTTGGATTTAAATATGTAAACTATAGTTGTAGATGTGTAATTTTTATTTATGTTGACAAAATTATTACAGTGTTTTTTCCAACATATAGCCTATTCACTAAAATTTGTTAAAAATAACAGTGAATTAATACCAAAAAATAACCAGCTAATTTAATTGTAAGCAAATCTTGGTTAAAAGCATTTTAGAATTAACAGGGTGTTAATTTTTACATATGACATATGGACCAGAAACTTGGTTTGTTAAATCTAGGTCTGCAAAATCGAGTGTTTAGTGTAGTGATTTAAAAGAGAAAACAAACAATTGGAAAAGAAACACACACAAAATGAATCAAATAGCACTTCTATGTTGGAAAATGACCACATGTACTTCTGTTAAGTACAGTTAAAAACCTGAAAATTACATGTAAAATGAACATAAGACTGAAAGGTGAGGGGATGAAAGCAGACCAGCTGAGGATCTCAGAACCCAGGAATGACACAGCAGAATGAAGAGGAAATCTAGACATTCTTATCTGAAGTAAAACTAAGAGAATTTGTCACCAGCAGACCTACCCTAAAATAAAGTCTATAAGAAATTTTTGAAACAGAAAGCAAATTATTAAAGGTACTAGAGGCCTGGTGCATGAATTTGTGCATGGGTGGGGTCCGTCTGCCTGGCTGTCAATCTGGGGCCGATCAGGGCCGCCTCGCCCAGCCCTGATTGGGGCCATGGGGGCCAGCCGGCTGGGGAGTTACTGTGGGAGGGCTCCAGAGCATGTCCAGCCCTCTCACCCAGTCCCGATCAGCCAGACCCCAGCAGCAAGCTAACCTACTGGTTGGAGCATCTGCCCCCTGGTTGTCAGTGCTTTTCATAGCGACTGGTTGAGCAGTCGACCAAATGGTCAACCAATCGGTTGGACACTTAGCATATTACGCTTTTATTATATAGGATAATTGTGAAACATTGGGAAGGATGAAAAAATAAAAAGAATAAAGGCATGTTTTCTTCTCTTGTGTTTTCTAAATCATGTTTCATAGTTGAGTCAAAAATTACAGTAACATTTTATGTGGTTCAAATGTATGTGGAAGAAGTATTTAGGAAATTACATTATGTACAGGGAAAGGCAAAAAGAACTTAGAGACAGGTAAGACTTATAAAATGTTGATACCAGTAGACATATTTAAAAAGAAAACATGCAAAAAATACACTCAACAGCACTATAGATAAAAAAGGAATTTAAAAATTCAAATAACCCACAGGAGGACAAGAAAAAGGACAGGAAAATAATCATGGAAATGAAAAATAGTATTTGTTAAATGGTAGGCAGTTCAAGAAATAAACTAGTGATCTGGAAGAGGAATATGAGGATTTGTTCATAACAGAGAAAGATTGAAAACGAGGTTTTGTGAAAATTAGAATAAGAGAACCCAAACATATATTTAACTAAATAAACAAGATGGAGGCCGGGCAATGTTATAGAAAACGCTGCTTAAGCCCTGGCCTAGAGGCTCAGTTAATTCGAGTGTCATCCTATACACCAAAAGGTTAAGGATATAATTCCTGGTCAGGAGGCGTCCAGAAGGCAACCAATCGATGTTTCTCTCACATCAGTGTTTCTCTCTCTCCCCCAAAATCAATAAAAACATATTCTCGGGTGAGGATTATGAAGTAAAATAAATAAAATAAAATAAAATAGAAAATGCTGCAGAAAAAGTTCTTGAGGATCACAGGGCTTAATGAGCCAAAGTAGTGTAGTTTGTGGTGAAACTGCATTCTTGAGCCAAAAGACACTTGTAAAAATGAGTTATACTGAAAGCATTTTGTGGTGTGTTTTTTTTAGTAATGTCAACAATGAAAACAGATAGCCCTGGTAATAACTTCACAAACTAGTTACATTATTCAAGAGTGAGAGAAATAGACATTTGGAGACAGTTTATTTTTTCCTAAAGAGATTAAGTACATATTTAGGGAAGAAAAATTGAACCTAGAAAGAAAAAGATACAAGCAGCAGCAGTGAGCACAGGTATGGGGAAAATATGAATAAATAAAAATGAGCATTGGCCATTAAAAAACAACTAAATTTTGGTAAAATGGTTAAAATAATTAAAATATTAGTGAAAAATTAATCTGTAAGAAGAAAATGGATATTGTTGGGTTTATTGTTTTAAGGGACTTGTATTGCTGAGGTAGTAATGAGGAAGCATCAATTAGCTTTAGATTATTAAATCAAGTATGTATCTTTTAAGTTATGTTCTAAAATAACAGGAAGAGCGTATGTAACTTCCAAACCAGGTTGGTGAGGTCTGGGGGTGAAATAAAGAAGATAATGGGCCCTAACCAGTTTGGCTCAGTGGATAGAGCGTCGGCCTGCAGACTCAAGCGTCCCAGGTTCGATTGCGGTCAATGGCATGTTACCTTGGTTGCTGGCACATACCCAGTAGGGAGTGTGCAGGAGGCAGCTGATCAATGTTTCTCTCTCATCGATGTTTCTGACTATCCCTCTCACTTTCTATAAAAAAATCAATTAAAAATATATTTTAAAAAAAGAAGATAATGGACAGAAAATAGGATAAAAACAAGCAAAGAAAACACATGTTCAGAGAAAGCACACTATAAAGTAGGAAAATACTCTAAATTTAGATTGGTAAGAATGACACATAAATAGCTTAGACTTTTGTGTATTAAAAAGATAGGATCTTAAACTGCATTTTAAAGAAATGACTTTAACACAAAACAAAAAATTAATGAGATTCTAATCTTTAAAAAGAAGTCGTGTCCTTAAATGACTCTAATAATAGTGTAAAAAAGAACAAATTCTTTAGGAACATTGAACAGTTGAATCTGTACCTTTAAACATGTCTCAAAGGAGTTAGTAAGTTTAAGCATACAAATAATTAGTGAGGGTCTAAAATAGCAGTGATTAAAGTATTTGTTTTTGAAAAGGGTTTATAAAAGGAAGCACGTTAAAAAATCTTTACTGCAGTGTACCCCACTAATAGATTAATGGAACAAAAACCATCCAATCATACAATTTTAGATGCAGAAAAAGCATTTCATACATTTATACATAATTTTAAAATAACAATTTGAAATACCATTATAACGAGTATCTTCTAAAAACATTCAGCAAACATCCCTAAAGGTGAAATGTTACCAGCATTCCCCTTAAGGCCAGATAAGCCTCGAATATACATAATTACTCTCTTCGTTTCCACAATATGCTGAAGACCCTAGCAGAGCAACAACAACAAATGAATAAGTGAATGTTATTAAGGATTAGAAGAACTAAAATTATCATTTGTAGCCTGCATGATTGTCTAACCTAAAATGTAAGAAATTCTTCTATAAAGTGTTTAGCAAGGTTACTGGATACAAGAGGTTAAAGATTCTATCAGGGAGGTTTGCTAGTGAGAAGGAATGGTAAAGAAATTGGTAAACAGAGCAACTAATTGTACAAAAATGTTTACTTTGGGAGTTTATGAAACTAAGAAGAATTTTTAACTAGCATAAGAAGAGTGAGAGCAATTAGTTTTAAGTGTTGTAAGGTCTTTGTATTGTTTAGGAAGAAGGTAAACACTAGTCCCTCCCAAACCCCATCCATGGTTTCACTTTTCTCAGTTTCAGTTACTCTTGATCAATCACGGTTCAGAAATATTAAGTGGAAAATTCCATAAAGAATTCATAAATTTTAAATTGTACACTGTTTTGAGAAGCATGGAGAAATCTTGCACTCCCTGAGATGTAAATCATTCTTTTATCCACCTTATCCATGCTCTTAGTAGCCATCATGGTTTTCAGATGGACTGTCACAATATTGCATTGCTTGGATTCAAGTAACCCTTATTTACTTAGTAATGGCCCTAGTGTGCAAGAGTAATAATACTGGAAATTCAGATTGCCAAAGAGAAGCCATAATGTGCTTCCTTTCAGTGGTTCTCAACCTTCTGGACCTTTAAATACAGTTCCTCATGTTGTGACCCAACCATAAAATTATTTTCGTTGCTACTTCATAACTGCAATGTTGCTACTGTTATGAATTGTAATGTTAATATCTGATATGGAGGATGGTCTTAGGCGACCCCTGTGAAAGGGTCGTTCGACCGCCAAAGGGGTCGCGGCCCACAGGTTGAGAACCGCTGCTTTAAGTGAAAAGTCCAACATTCTCAACCTCAATAAGGAAAGAAAAAAATCATGTTGAGTTGCTACGATTTATAGTAAGAACAAATCTGTGAAATTGTGAAGAAGGAAAAAAATTAATCCTAGTTTTGCTGTATTGCACCTCAAATTGCAAAAGTTATAGCCACAGTGCGTGAAAAATGCTTAGTTATGATGGAAAAGGTATTAAATTATGGGCGGGAGACATGAACAGAAAACTTGTTCTGAATGATGGCAACACGTTGCACCAGAAAGCATTGCGCTTATATGAAGACTTCAGTAAGGAATCCCTGAAACAAATGTCACCAAACCATTTACTGCAAGTAAGGGATGGTCGCACAGATGCCGGAATAGGTTTGGACTGAAAAATACAAAAATTACTGGAGAGGCTATCTGCCCATGAAGAAAGTACTGCCATATTTCCAGCAGAGTTAAAGAAGTTGATTACTAAGGAGAAAGGTATGTATATATAGGAAAAATAGTATATTAGGGTTCAGCACTACCCACAGTTTCGGGCAGCTATATTTGGTCTTGGAACATATCTCCCAATAAGGCGAGACTACTGCACATCGATTCACTTTATATTTTAAATTTGCCTATTAAAATCTTAAGAGGTAACTATTTAAAAAAGAAGTAGTATGACTTTTTAAATAGAAGGTAAATTGGAATTTAAAAATAAAGTTAGAAATGTTAATTCCCTATTGTAATGTCAAACACATGTATGAATGTTCTCTCAGTACTTTTCTTCTCTTAAGTTTTAAGCAGGGTCTGAAAACTCTTGGAGTTTTGGAGAAAATTCAGACTTATCCAGAAGCATTTTATAGCATCTTCTGTCATAAACCTGAGAATCTTTCTGCAAAAATGCTTAGAGATCTTTTTACAGTACACACATGTGACGCACAGTCTTTGGGGTTTTGGAACAGTTACTTACAGGCTGTTGAGGGTATGTGGATGTTTTATTTTTATCTGTCTTAGAATGTTTGTTTCAGTATATTAGTTTATTTCTTTGAGTTTTGCATTTTGATAATAAGAATTTTCATTGGCTAACCCCATATTTACAAAACATTTAAAAATAAGTTTGTGTGATTGAGTTGAAATTGATGAGGAAAGGTTAAGAATAAAATTATAATTTACAATGTTTTTTTACTATAATTTGAGGTAAGAGGCAGTCTTACTAGGAATTTTAAATATATGGGTGATGGCCACTGCATAGAATAGTATAAAAGCTAATTGTCTGTTTCATCTTTCTCAAACTTGTGAATTATTCATCCATTGGTTAGGACTATGATACTGATGTTTATCATTGAGCATGAGCAATGTAAAATCTTTTTGTTTAATAGAGTGGAAAATATTTTAACTTTCAGTTGAATCTTCTTTCAGACAAGTTTTTATTGTTGTTGTTTTACACAGTTTAGTTTTTCTCTGCATTTATTGAACTAATTAAGTGATTTTCAACCAGTGTGCTACAAGAATTTTTAAAACATGCAGTGCCTGACTAGTCAGGGGCACTGACCTCTTTCCCCTTAGATTGTCTAATGAAAAAATGACAACAGTCAATACAACAATAGCCATCCAGTGTGAATGAGTCAAAATTATACTTTTTTTGTGTCAAATTGGCAAAAAATATATTTTTTGGTGTGCTACAGAATTTTAGTAATTAGTTTATGTGTGCCATGAGATGAAAAAGGTTAAAAGTCACTGAACTAGTTTATCAAATAATAACCTAGAAGTAGTGTATGATATATTAATTGTTTTTAGAATATTATATCCCCAAAAGACGGAATTTCATAATCCACTGAGCCTCTTAGATTCTGATAACTTTATATTAGAGAAGGCATTCAAATATACAATGAGTAGGTCAACTAAGTGATTTTGTGAGTCCTACTTTGAGATTCAAACATTTATTGAATGTACTGTTTTCCTATTACTACACTTTACTTAGTTATTTAGTTTGCCCAAGATAGATGTGGGAATCTCTGCCTTTCAACATTCCCAGTCAAGATGGGGAAGAGTCTATGATGGTAGCAATATATAATGAACTTATTTTTCTTCTTTTTGGTAAACTTTTCAGATGGTAAATCTGCAACAACATTGGAAGACATTCTTATTTTTGCAACTGGTTGCAATTCCATTCCACCTGCTGGATTTAAACCCACTCCTTCAGTTGAGTGCCTTCATATGGATTTTCCTGTTGGAAACAAGTGTAATAACTGTTTAGCTCTTCCAATCACCAATACATATAAAGAATTTCAAGAAAAAATGGACTTTTCCATAAGAAACACTTTAAGACTAGAAAAAGAAGAAAGCTCTCACTACATTGGACATTAAGATGTTTTGAACAAAGAGATGCTTCTTTAAAGCTGCTATTGATATTTTTGTTTCAGAAATCTGTCCATTATCACTTTTGAACAAACTTGTCAGCTTCTTGGTCCAATAAAATTTATGATGTGAATATTAAGGAATGTTTTGGCCATTTAAACTAAAAAAAATTTTGTTAAGGTATACCATTTAAAGTTGATGATGTTTTTCTATTTTGTTAGTATACATGCTTTATAATGTTCAATATAAATTTTTTTAGAATGGCTGTTAGACTTTCTTCAAGCATAGTAGCATGGTATATATAAGAGAAAAACTTGTACTCACTATTTTTGTAAATTTGGATTAGCTATAGGATGCCACATTTCAAATTATTATTTTATTTTAAAGCATTAAATGGAAAAGCTAATTGGTAAATTCTGTTATATAAATCAAAGGCACATATTCTGGGGTATGTGTTATATGTATCCTTTTCTAGGATGGCACTAAATTGGTTGTTAAAATGTGTTTTTTTAGGTTACTGATTATATTAAAATAGACCCACACTGCAATTAGATTATGCCTAAGGAAGTATGTATTACAGAAAAAGCGGAATTGCACAAATATTCTATGGTCTATGGACATTCCATAGTCTTAAAAATACTCCTGAGGTGGATAAAAATATATTTAAAAGTGTATTCTTTAAAGCCTTGGCTTTAATCATAGGAGTTTTTCCCCATGTTAGATCCATACTCATTTCAGGTATCTGAATAATATCTGTGGGTTGTCATATGGTGGTTTGGCTATTTGACAGGTATTTATTTTTAAGATGATTGTATGATAAGTAAGCTCGCACCATTGCTTTACTGCTATCTTTTTTGCTCTTGAAAGGTATCTGTTATTTTATAGGTAATGTAGAAATATGTAAGAAAGAAATACAAATGGAATGAAAAACCCACTCTATTCTCACCATGCAGAATTAACTGATGTGTTTCCGCCTATCCTTCTACAAACTCTTTTGTTCCATTTTGTAACTTTATTAATGTTACTAAAAGTAACAAGAAACTATGTAATAACAATTTGAAGTTTATGTCCCCATCCATAGTCATGTCACCATAATTATATACACTTTCACAAAAGAAGAAATTGGAAAAGTCTAATTTCTATAATGTTATCAAATATAAATGGGTTTTCCACCAAAGTAAATCATATGAGAGGTAAATTGCTTAGTTGCAACCACATTTTTCTTCTTTTAAAATATTGATTTCAGGGAGGAATGGAGAGGGGGAGAGAGAGAAACATCAATGATGAGAATCACTGATCAGCTGCCTCCTGCACGCCCCCTACTGGGGATTGAGCCGGCAACCCGGGCATGTGCCCTTGATCAGAATCGAACCCAGGACCCTTCAGTCCGCAGACTGATGCTCTATCTGCTGAGCCAAACCGTCTAGGGCCACATTTGTCTTGATACACAAAATAGGTGTCAGCTATCATCATATTCTCATTTTCCCTGAGAAACATCCCTAAATTACTGATTTTTGTTGTTGTTAATCCTCACCTGAGGATATTTTTTACATTGATTTTTTAGAGAGAGTGGGAGGGAGGGAGAAGGGGAAAGAGAGAAAAAGAAACATTGATGTGAGAAAGAGACATTGATTGGTTGCCACCTGCACATGCCTCAGCCAGCCAGGGATTGAACCTGAGACCTTTCCATGCTTGGGCCAGTGCTCTAACCGTTGAGCATGCCAGCCAGGGCAGTTACTGATATTTTTAAAGAAAAATAACAGGATTGATTTGATATTGGTAATATATCTCTTAATACCAAAAGAAAACTAAAGCATAGTCCTAGTGTACTTTTCTTTGTTATACTTACTAACATACCCAGCAAATTAAAGTTTCACTTTCATTAAAAATGTTTAAGAACATTAAGGCATTTCTTTGTCTTTTGTTAAATTTTTAGATTATTGAAAGTAATTAAAAGGACCTATTATTAAAAAAGGGTTTGAATATCTAATATGAACCTCAAACTTGCCATATAGCTTTTATTTAAAATGTTTTGATAGATTGGCTACTTCATTCTTTAATCTACCCAGTTTTATGAACTTTAAAAAGCCACTAAAGCCCTGACTGGTTTGGCTCGGTGGATAGAGCGTCGGCCTGTGGACTGAAGGGTTCCAGGTTCGATTCTGGTCAAGGGCATGTACCTCGGTTGTGGGCACATCCCCAGTAGGGGGTGTGCAGGAGGCAGCTGATTGATGTTTCTCATCAATGTTTATAGCTCTCTATCCCTCTCCCTTCCTCTCTATAAAAAATCAATAATATATATTTAAAAAAAATAAAACTCAAGAAAAAAATCTTTTAAAAAAGCTACTAAAACAGTACAAACAAAATCTAAATAAATTTCTGGTTATTTGTAGTTTTAATTAATTTCCCCTGCAGCAGTAATTTAGCTGATGATTACTGTCACTTTTTAGGTGGGGAGGGATCGGAGAGAAGCAGGGCGCTTGGTTTTGGCTACAATTAAAAACATTATGGTATTTCAATTCCTCCTTTCACTTATTTTATGTGTAGATAAGGCCTTAGGGATAAGGTGGTATAAATAATCATAAGGATAGGCACAGTTTAAACTGAAGCATAAGTATTCATATTGAAAAATGTTTTCTGCATGCCATTTAAGGATGTTACATTAGTATGATGTTTTAAAGATTAATCTGTTTAATCAGGGCATATCAGAGAAACTTGTAGGTTGTTTTCTGCAGTGTTACAATGTCAAGTGGTATTACGGTTTTTTTCTATTGTTATAGCCAGTGCACAATTCTTACTAATGTTGATTTTAAAAAGGAATAATGCTATAATCCTTTGTAAATGTGTGTATGTCTTAAATATCTTAAACTAAATGCCATATATTTCAAGCTTGTTTCCTATTGTTCTCAATGTCAAGGAAAATCAAACATTTGCCTATTATGCATCTACTGTTAATGGTCTTTGGTTGGTTTTATATTCATTGTTTTAAAAGCTTTACACTTTTTGGTGTGAGAACTTCATTTGAAAGTCTTTTACATAATTATCTACAATTATACTTGGTCGTTTTAAGGTAAATATTCTTTAAAATATCAGAAACTAGCTTATGATTTTATATTTTGTCATATTTAATCCCTATTTTATGAATAAGCCATTCTCTGTTTGGGTCAAGTAAAAAGCCTTCATTTGATTACTAACTTGAGAAATAAATCATTTTGGCTTCTACTTTATATCAAAACTTTCAATAATTTTTTTCCCTAATTATGTGGAAGCTAGTGTAACTTTTGTACTCAAAACTAAATTCTAAGGGGAGTATAATAGTTAAATTTTTCAGTGACTGCCTGTAGCAGTCATTATTATTAGAACAAGATTCTATTTATAAATCTGTAATCTTTTTATGTAGTGATTATCACGTGCTTCATTGTTACTTTTACAGTAAGCTATTAAACTAGTATTTATGCTTCAAGTATTACAAAGTTTTATGCTTCAAGTAATGCAATACAAATCATAAGAACACACTGAATGATGGATTGCTTGATTGTGTATTACATGTAGTTTAGGAATATTTGGGTTGCTTTGAAGAAACCCAGTTTTAAGTTCTCATTTTGACTTTTTCAATTGCCAAACATATTCTAATACCTACTGTATGTGAACAGGTATTGTGCTAGGTGATATTTTGTCAGCCTATTTCTCCCTTTTTTTGAACACATCAGATGTAGCCAAAAAACATGACACTTAAGTGAAGTTTTTTAAATAAATGTGTTTATGCTACTAAAAGTGAAGTGCTTATATAAACTCAACTTGTCAGAATTTAACAAGATTAAGTTTCCAAAATTATTAAGTAGATAGAAGATTCCACATTTGAGAGATCCTGCAGTCGGCTTATGCCTAGTAAACTCTTAAATGAGCTGTTCTGAGATATTCTATGTTAAAACTGTCCTCTAATGGCCTATTAAGCATGGCGTAATGGTTGCCCTGTGAACCTGGAGTTCAAGGTTCGATTCCTGGTCAGGGCACATGCCCCAGTTGCAGGCTCGATCCCCAGTATGGAGCGTGTAGGAGGCAGACAATGATTCTCCCTCTCCCTTTTTCTCTGAAACCAATTAAAAAATATATTTAAAAAACTATCCCCTAATGAAAAATTATAGTTTGCCAGAATAAATTATTTAAACCAAAAATCTGGGTAGGTAGAGCTGGTTAAAGGGGTACAATAAATTAGGTTAACTATTACTCTGAAGCCATGGTTTGATTATTTCTGATTCTGATAATAATGTAACAAATAAATACCTTAGTCTTAGCTTTACAGAGACTACTGCCAATCATCTGTGGGGCATATTTTTTTAAAATTTACATTATATGCACTCCTTGTTCAGGACAGGTTTTTATCATTTTTATGTAGATACTATATATAAATGTCTAGCATTTTCTTAATGTTTTGTTTTATTTTGTTAATTCTCATCCGAGGATCTCTTTCCATTGATTTTTTAAATTTTTATATTTTTATTGATTTCAGAGAGGAAGGGAAAGGAAGAGAGAGGTAGAAACATCAATGATGAGAGAGAATCATTGATTGGCTGCCTCCTGCACGCGCCACCCTGGGGATTGAGCCCGCAACCTGGGCATGTGCCCTTGACTGGAATCGAACCCGGGACCCTTCAGTCCGCAGGTCAACCTTCTATCCACTTAGCCACACATGGCCGGGGCTTTCCATTGATTTTTTAGAGAGAATGGAAGGGAGGGGGAGAGACAGAGAAGGAAACATCTATGTGAGAGATACCAATTGGTTGCCTCCCACATGTGTCCCAACCAGGGCTAGGAATCCAGCCTGTAACCGAGGTCCATGCAGTAGTCAACCCAGGACCCTTCCTTCAGTCTGCAGGCTGACACTACTGAGCCAAACCGGCTATGGCAGTGGTTCTCAACCTGTGGGTCGAGACCCCTTTGGCGGTCGAACGACCCTTTCAAGGGGTCGCCTAAGACCATCCTGCATATCAGATATTTACATTACGATTCATAACAGTAGCAACATAACAGTTATGAAGTAGCAACGAAAATAAGTTTATGGTTGGGTCACAACATGAGGAACTGTATTTAAAGGGCCAGAAGGTTGAGAACCACTGGGCTAGGGCTTTCTTAGCATTTTAATGTGACATGTAGTCTTAGGGAGAAGTCTGGTGGAGCTGAAATGGTTAAATGATAGATTTGCATTTGAGAGAATTACCCAAATGAACAAGATCGGGCTCTCAGATGTTGGAAGATGGGCAAGCCTGTACATTTTCTATTCCATGGACACAAAAACTGAAGTAGAACTTTCCAAAGGGCAGGA